ATCCTTTTTTCTTTATTATTCACCTAGTATTTTTAAAGATCCCACTTTGGTTTCATATCTATTTATTATGTATATTTATATCTATTTTGGATAACCACTCCAATCTTATCTCCCACTTTCATTTTTGTTTTTTTTATTGTATCATTCCTTCCTTGGGTCTAGTGCTTTTTTATTTTCCTAGCTTCTTAAATTGTACAGTTGGGTTTGTGATATATTGTTCTTTTTCTTTTTCTTTTTTTTTAAATATTTATTTATTTGAAAGGCAAGTTACAGATAGGCTGAGGCAGAGAGAGAGAGAGAGAGAGAGAGAGAGAGGTCTTCTATCTGATGGTTCTGCAACGGCCAGAGCTACACTGATCTGAAGCCAAGACCCAGGTGCTTCTCCTGGTCTCCCATGCGGTTGCAGGGCCCAAGCACTTGGGCCATCCTCCACTGCCTTCCTGGGCCACAGCAGAGAGCTGGGCTGGAAGTGGAGCAGCTGGGACTCGAACCAGCATCCAGACTGGATACCGGCACTGCAGGTGGAGGCTTTTCCTACTACGCTACAGCACTGGCCCTGAGGCTGTTCCTTTTTTTTTTTTTTTTTTTTTTTTAATATTTATTTATTTCTTTGAAAGGCAGAGTTACAAACAGGGAGAAGGAGAGACACAGAAACACTCCCCAGGTTTGCAATTTACATAGTCTGGGCCAGGTGGAAGCCAGGAGCTTCCTCCAGGTCTCCCACATGGGTGCAGGGGCCCAAGCACTTGGGTCATCCTCTGCTGTTTTCCGAGGCATATCAGCAAGGGCTGGACTGGAAGTGGAGCAGCCAGACTTGAACTGGTGCCCATGTGGATGCCACCATCATAGGCAGTGGCTTAACCTGCTACAACCACAACACAGGGCCCCAGCTTTTGTTCATTCTAATCTGCCAATCTTCAATTCCTTTATTGGGTAGTAGTTCTTGGCATTAGTATCCAGCCTGCTTGCAAAATTTGCCTCATTTCAGATGATAAAATTGTACAGCTCAGATTTTATTATTTAAAAAAAAAAAGGCTAGAGTGGGCCTGTAATGTTTATTCCAGGTTTCACTCTAAAGTTCATCTGCTGTCCAGGTTTCAGTAAGGTTTGTTTTTATGTTTGTGTTTATGTTTATTATGAAATATACTGTTCCCACACACAATGTTTTCCAAAATAGAACTGCTGCTCATGAACACGTCTGTTAACTTTGGAGTTGTGAAATTTTCTCTTTCTTTTTTTTTTTGAAAGGTAGAGTTAGACAGTGAGAGAGAGACAGACAGAGAGAAAGGTCTTCCCTCCGCTGGTTCACCCCCCAAATGGCCGCTACAGCCGGAGCTGCGCTGATCCGAAGCCAGGAGCCAGGTGCTTCTCCTGGTCTCCCATGGGGTGCAGGGCCCAAGCACCTGGGCCATCTTCCACTGCACTCCCGGGCCACAGCAGAGAGCTGGACTGGAAGAGGAGCAACAGGGACAGAATCCGGCACCCCGACTGGGACTAGAACCTGGGGTGCGGGCACCGCAGGCAGAGGATTAGCCTAGTGAGCTCGCACCGGCCATGGAGTTGTGAAATTTTCTTAGTAGCTTTTCTTTTTTTTTTTTTTTAAAGATTTATTTATTTAGTTGAAAGCCAGAGTTACACAGAGAGAGGAGAGGCAGAGAGAGAGAGGAGAGAGAGAGAGAGAGAGAGACATGTCCTTCTATCCACTTGTTCACTCCCCAGTTGGCTGCATTGGCTGGAGCTGTGCTGATCTGAAGCCAGGAGCCAGGAGCTTCTTCCGGTCTCCCATGTAGGGGCCCAAGGACCTGAGCTATCTTCTACTGCTTTCTCATTCCACAGCAGAGATCTGGATCGGAAGTCGTGCAGCCGGGACTCGAGCCCGTGCCCTTATGGGATGCCAGCACTGCAGGCAGTGGCTTTATCTGCTATGCCACAGTGCCAGCCCCCCTTAGTAGCTTTTCATAGTTGTTTTCCTGACGTCATGGGGGAAATGCCTCCCAGTGGTCCATTTTCAGGGCACGGGGCTGTCCGAGTTCCCTTGGTAAAATGTGGGTTTTGGAGGTTTCTGTGCATCGGCTGTGAGTATTTGCTCTGGGTTTAGGAGACCTCTCCTCATCCACATCATGTGTGTGTTTATCTGTTGCCTATTGAATGTCTTTGGAGACTCAGCTGCTTGGGCCTATCGCTTACACGTGGCAGACTGAAAAAGGCCTTGTTGTTAATTGACCCTACGTTTTGTATATGGCTTTATTATGAAAACAGCATGGTTTGATCCACCAGTGCTGGGCACAAGGGTTTTCTCTTCTAAAATTCCATTCTAGGTCTGACGTTAGGGCACTTATAAAGCTGTTTTCTGTAGACCGGCAGAGAGTGACAGAGCTTGCTATTCATCCTGACTCCTACAGTGGAGGCACGGGGGACTCTCTGACCCCATGGCCAACTTTGCTAAATGAGTGTGCGTGCCCAAGAATGCAGGGCCTCCTGTGCTGGGAAAGAGATGGAAATGTAGCCCCAGCAGCATACTCAGCAGCACTGGGGAGAATTGTTGGAAGAATAAAGAATCGCAGCACATGGTCTCAGAGTTGAAGTTGAGAAGTTTTAGCTCTGGTCACCCTTGGTTTGATGCAGTGGAATCCTTAGTCTTTTTTTTTTTTTTTTTTTTGATTTGACAGAGTTAGTGAGAGAGAGACAGAGAGAAAGGTCTTCCTTCCGTTGGTTCACCCCCCAAATGGCTGCTACGGCTGGCGTGCTGCACCCATCCGAAGCCAGGAGCCAGGTGCTTCCTCCTGGTCTCCCATGTGGGTGCAGGGCCCAAGCACTTGGGCCATCCTCCACTGCCTTCCTGGGCCACAGCAGAGAGCTGGACTGGAAGAGGAGCAACCGGGACTAGAACCCGGCACCCACGTGGCATGCCGGCGCCGCAGGCGGAAGATTAACCAAGTGAGCCACGGCGCCAGCCCCAAGGAATTCTTGAGTCTTAGCAGGTGATCGGGACGGGGTTTGTTAAGGCCCCTGTTCCCTGATTTCAGGTACTGGCCTGATGCTTCAGCCTCCGTGTGAATGTTTCTGCTGTGAAGAGTGAGTTGCTCGGCGAGAGGCCCTTGCTGCGGTTTTCAGCAGCTGTCGTCCTCACGTGACTTCTTCCCAAGAGCCCTGCTAGGACCCCTTGCCTTTGTAGACCTGGGACTGAGAACACTTGAGTCAACCTTTGAAGCTTCCCTAGGGTTGTGTCTGGGTGCAGATTGGCTGGAGGCGGAGGGTTCTGATGAGCGATCTGGGCAGAAGCATGGGACTCGTGGCTCTGAGGCTGGACACCGTGTGACTCTGGGTGATTCCCTCACCTTGCTGAGCTCTCATTTTCTCTTCCCTGAGTACCCCGAATTTGTCAGGGTTCTTGGAAAGATTGCTGAGTGATGTGTGTGAAGCCCCTAGCTGACACCCAAACATGGGACGCTGTGCTGAGAGTGTGTGGTTGCCTTGTGGAGCTGCAAAGGTGGACGCAGGTGAGGGCAGACAGATTCTTCCAGACAGTGTGGTGCGAGCTGAGGGCAGACAAGCAGGGTGGACAGAAATTCTAGTTGTTTCACAAGTGCTCCCTCTTGCTTAGTGGATCAGAAGCAAATTGGGTAATGGATGCCCAGCACTGTTTGGGGCAAGATGGGGCAAGACCCGTCTATGCTGCCCTGAGAGGGTTTCTGGAACGGGACTGCTTTCTCTTTGAGTTTGCTTCATCATGTCTCAGCAGTTCTAAACCTCCTGGTGCCATTCTTTTATGGTTGGGAGGGCTGTGGTACCTATTGGCTTTGTTCCTGTGACAGTGAATGTTTGGAGACAAAGGAAAGACTTTCTCTTTAGACAGCTTTTCCTTTCTTTCTTAGACATTCCCGTATGAGTCACTTTGCTGGGGAAAAATTTGAGAAGGCAACTCTGACTCAGAAGCCAGCTTTGGGAGTTGGTGCTGTGGCATAGTGGGTAAAGCCCCCACCTGCAGTGCTGGCATCCCATATGGGCACCTCTTCGAGTCCTGGCTGCTCTTCTTCCAATCTAGCTCTCTGCTATGGCTGGGGAAAGCAGTGGAGGATGGCCCAAGTCCTTGGGCCCCTGCACCCCTGTGGGAGACCTGGAAGAAGCTCCTGGCTCCTGGCTTCAGATAGGCGCAGCTCTGGCTGTTGTGGCCAACTGGGGAGTGAACCAGCAGATAGAAGACCTCTGTCTCCCTCTCTGCCTATCCTTCTGTCTCTGTGTAACTCTGTCTTTCAAATAATAACAATCTAAGAAAATAAAAAAGAAACTATATGACATAACATTTATGCTGTTTTTACCTTAAAATGCATTATTTGGAGCTTTGCAGGTATATCAAATGATATCAGTAGTCCTCAATATTTTGAGAATGGCTTAATTTCTTTCAGAGACTGGGTGTGTGCATCTGTGCGTATTTTGAGTAGTTATAGTTTTCAGAGCTGCACTGTGCGTTTATTGTAGTTCTCCTTGTTGCTTGTGATGGGAGAAGTGCACTCTGTTGTTCCTGCTGGTGTGTCTTGCCCCTAGAAGCCTGTCCCAGCAGGAGTCAGGAGATGGTGGCCCAGGACTGAGTGGGCAGCAGGGGTGACTGGCAGCTGGCCTGTTCCTGTTGCCAACTTCCTGGTTGGCCTCACACATTTTTGGGTCTCTCTTTTTCTCCCTCTCTTAAAATGACGTTGGAGTCAGTGCTTTCTAAAGCTCCCTATGGTGCTAGCAGCCTTGGCTGTTATTCTAGCTGTTATTCTACAAATTTCCAGCTACACTAAGCTGTCAGGGGGCACATAGTGTGAGCGGAGCACTCTGTGTGCAGGTGGGCACTTAGTGGTCAGTGGTCTCCTCCCCCTTGTCCTCCAGGCTCCCCAAAGGCTGGGGTGTCTCCTGCGGCTAAATTCCAACTAATCTGCAAATAGGCAACAGATATGCCTCCAAACAGGTCTCTTTTTCATTTTACCAGGAGCATTCCATGTCACTCTTGATGGTGACAGGGTAATCAGAGCAGAATTTCCACAATGTTTCTTTTCTTTCGTCACCATCTCCCAAGTCAACAAATGGAAGCCTTATAAAGAATTCAGCAAAGTCTTCCTTAGCCATCGCATGTATTTGTCTATCGCATTAAGGATTCTCAGGTCTCAGTTGAAGGCCACTGCCTTCCCAATCCTCATTTGACGACTGATGGTCTCTCTTTTTCCCACAGAAGAAGGTTCGAGCCTGGAGGAAATCGGCTTCAACTGGGGAGAATATTTGGAAGAAACAGGTGCCAGTGCAGCTCCACACACATCATTCAAACATGTACGTAAGAGAGCTTGTCTCTTCTCACCTGCCTCTGGAGGGTGGGATGGGAAGAAAGGACCATGCAGGGAGAAGCCAAAGAAGTGTTCCAAAGCAAGGGAATGGAATGAGAAGAGGAGCCCAGCCAAGATGTCTTAGGAATAACACGGAGATATGGCAGTTGGTTTGCTTTGCACACAGAGCACCAGGTCAGGTGGGCAGAGCAGGTTGGTTTGAGTAAGTAGAGCACCAGCCAACTAGGCAGGGAGGTGCAGTGTGTAATACCTTCTTTGTGGATGTAATGGCTGTAAGTTTTTATTTTGGGTTGCATTTTTGACTCTGAAGGGACACTTCTAAGTTTCACAGCCTTTTGGGCATAGATGATTTGGAGTCCAGGAAATAAACATGCATATTCTGAAAACATTTGGCTCCAACCAAAAAACAATTCTCATGAACACTATTGCTTTGAATAATGCAATAGCATGCCCACCAGAGGGCAAGGCCCAGAAACAAAAAATTGAGGGTTTAATCAGATTTTTGCTTAGGTTTGAGATATTGGGGATCTGTCATGAGCCAGGAAAGACTAGATTTCCAGGACTCAAGCTCTTAGGCATTACTGTTGTAATGGAAATGGAAATTTAACTCTGAGAAACATTTTTTTCCCCCACTGGGCTACCCAGAGCAAAGGGTCGGTCTGATTATCCTAAGCAAACTGGGTGACTTTCTTAATATGCTCTTTCTTTTGGCTGCTTGGCTGAATGAGGACGCCAGAACATTGATTCTTTATTTTAATGAAACATTTTATTTATTTTATTTTGTGGAGGTGAAGTGTTTCTTTTGAAAGGGAAGTTAATACCTTATTAAATTTGTGTGACCTTATAAAGGTGAATTATATTCCCCTTTCTCATTTTATACTCATCATGTTATAATTATAACACGGTATATCATGTATTATGAATGTAATTCTGGTTATGTAATAGAAACCAAGAGTTAAATATTAAAACAAAGCAGAACCAATGCTTTCTGGGCATGTGACCAGGGATATGGTTCCGGAAAGCCAAGATGATATAAACATCCTAAGATTTTGGAGTGAATCTGGTAGGTTCCTTAAGGCAGTGCAGGAAAGAGGAGTTGGTTGATAATTTTTCCAGCTTCTCTTTAGCAAGAGGTTAGCACTTTCCCTCTGTGCAGAATTTCCCGGGCTCCCTTTGACTCTGTCAGCTCTCCTGTCTCCCTTTCAGTCACAGAGAGCCCTGGAGGGCAGCAAGGGCAGCTGTTCCTTTATGATGCAAAATTTCCCCAGGCCTGTGTGCTGTGCTGAAAGGAGAAGTAGCAACTAACTTCCTGGACGAGTGGTTTAATTCCATTCATCTCCTGGAAGCACCTGCTGCCCAGGAACCCCAGATAGGTCAACTTTGGGACATTAATGACCCACCAGGCTGGAAAGCTTCTTTGGTCTGGGGAGAAGGTCCAGTGAACTGTCAATAGACCAAACTCTTACTTAAGAAAAAAGGAAAGAAAGAAAACCCATCCTCTAGGACAGTGCTGAGCACATGGGAACCATCCCAGCTGGGCCCACTAAGCACTGGGCAAGTGTGTAGTCCGGAGTTGCGTTGTGCCCTCCAGGTGGAATAGAACACCGGGTTTTGGAGGCTTCACTGGAAGAGAAGGTCGAATATCTCATTCACATATTTTGTGTTTTGTTATGTGTGGAAATGATATATGATAGATACATGGGGAGAGATGAAATGTGGTTTGAAGTATAGTTTCATCTTAAAAATTGGTGGCTTCTAGGGGCCAGCGCTGTGGCATAGTGGGGTAAGCTGCCACCTGCAGTGCTGGCATCCCATGTGGGCACTGATTCAAGGCCTGGCGGCCTCCACTTCACGATCCAGCTCTCTGCTATGGCCTGGGAAACAGTGCAAGATGGCCCAAGGCTTTGGCCAGTGCTCCCACATGAGAGACCTGGAAGAAGCTCCTGGCTCCTGGCTTCGACCAGCACAGCTCCAGCCATTGTGGCCATTGGGGAGTGAACCCGCGATGGGAGACCTCTCCTTCTGTCTGCCTCTCCTCTCTGTGTGTAACTCTGACTTTCAAATAAATAAATAAATCTTTAAAAAATTGTGGCTTCTAGAGAACTTAACATTATGTTGCTGGCTTGCATTGCATTTCTTTTCTCTTTTAAAAGATTTATTTATTTGAAAGGTAGAGTTAGAGAGAGAGAAATCTTCCATCTGCTGTTTTACTTCCCAAGTGGTTACGATGGATAGGGTTGGGCTAATCTGAAGCAAGGAGCCTGGAACTCTGGGTCTCCCATGTGGGTGCAGGGACCCAGACACTTGGGCCATCCTCTGCTGCTTTCCCAGGCGCATTAGCAGGAAGCTGGATCGGGAAGTGGAGCAGCTGGGACTTGAACCAGTGCTCAGAAGTGATGCCAGCATCACAGACAGTGGCTTAACCACACAACAGCAGCCCATTTTATTTTCATTTTTCTTTTTGCATGTATTTCTGTGGGTGGTGTCGTGCTGTTGTGGGTGGCCAAAATATTCCAGTGCTCTTTTTTTTTTTTTTTTAGTAGTTCTTGTAACCTTCTCTGAGATCTGTGTCCAGCGTGGTAACCGTTTTTCTACGTCTCTGATTCCCCAAGGTTGAAATCAGCCTGCAGAGCAACTTCCAGCCGGGAATGAAGTTGGAAGTGGCCAACAAGAACAACCCGGACACATACTGGGTGGCCACGATCATCACGACGTGCGGGCAGCTGCTGCTTCTGCGCTACTGCGGTTACGGCGAGGACCGCAGGGCGGACTTCTGGTGTGACGTGGTCATAGCGGATCTGCACCCCGTGGGGTGGTGCACGCAGAACAACAAGGTGTTAATGCCTCCGGACGGTGAGCCACGCTGAATCGCAGCTGATGGGCCTTCCTGGTGGCTGTCCACACTGGGAGGAGCATGTTGAGGACCCCTAGTGGATTTGAGTAGGAAGGTCTTCCCGGCTCTTTCAAAATCGCTTCTGGGGCTTCGGGAGCCCAGGGCGCCCGGGAGGCGGGAGATGGCGGGAGATGGTTTCCCCATGGTGGCGCTGGTCCTGGCCGTTGAGCCAACCACAGCTTGGAGACTCTTGGTTGCTTTCAAGAGATAGGGAAGGGAAGGTTGAAGGAGTGCCGAGAACCGAGGTCATGATTCTGCTTGGTGATTGCGTTGCTCCTTTTACGCGTTGGTGTTGGCATGTTGAATAGGACTGGGGAGCATTTTAAACGGACTTCCTCCAGTAAGTTTTCACCTGTCGTGCGGTGGGGAGGCGGTCAGGGTGGGAAGCCTTTGTAAACGGAACAGTTGAGGAGAAATGACATCGCTATCAAGGGGGGCGCTCAAAGTGTGCAGAGGCAAAGATCGATCGGTTCAGTGGCTCCCAAGCACTGGGTCTCTGCTGGGCCAGTTTTATCCCGTGTGTATGGGGCGGGGGAGGGGGACATGTGGCAATGTGTGGAAGCAACTTTGGTTGGGGGAGGGATGGATGCCACTGTGGATGTCCTGTGGGTGGAGACCTCAGATGCCTCCTAAACCTGCAGCACACACAGAATGGACCCCATCCCTAAGGAATGCTCAGGCCTAAGCTGGCAGTGGGGGTGAGATGGAGAGACCCTGCTGTGGCAGAAAGGGCTGCATAGACAATTTGTTTAAGGCTGTAGGCATGAAAACTGAGTTTCACCAAGTATTTGGATCTGAGCACCCTGTTGTGTGTGTTTCATTATTTGATTGTGGCAGCAGTGTGGCTTGAAGACTTTTTTTATTTGAAAGGTGCAGAGAGAGAGAGAGAGAGAGAGAGAGCTTCCATCTGTTGGTTTACTGCCCAGATGTCTTCAGTGGCCAAGACTGGGTCAAGGCTGAAGCTGAGAGTTGGGAACTCCACCCCAGGTCTCTTATGTGGGTAGCAGGGACCCAGTTATTTGAGCTGTGACCTGGAATCAGAAGTCAGAGGTGGGTATCAAGCCCAGATACTTTCATAACAGGCAGTCTAACTGGTGCCTTGACTGCCTAGGCCAAATGGCTGCCCTGTAGAACATGTTCAGATTTGGCTCTGAATTAAAACCACCTCTGAAATGAGACAGAGATGCAAGGCAACATTTGATTTTTTTTTTTAAATTTCCCATGACTGATTTCTGGTCCTGGCATTAAAAAAAACCAGTCCTGATGGGATATTGGGAAAATACCAAGTTCTAGTTAGGAGAAAGCGAGATTATATGCCCACCCCGAGCCCAGCTCTTCATACACATGCCCCCCCCCCCCCCACTCAGGGGGGTTCCATCCAGATGCACGCACACACAAGTATACACACACACGTACTTGGGGACACAGAAAGAGGAGGAGTCTAAAAGGGAGCCCCAGCGCCGTACTTTCATGATTCACTCTTCAGGTTTTGACCCTTGAGTAGCTAAATGCCCTTGGGGAGGACGGAGGCCGCTTCCTCTTCACAATAGCTTCTCCCTGAATGGTTTTAGTGAGAAGTTCCAGGCTGCTGCATTGTAACCCGCCCAGATGTAATGGGTTCATTTGTAAAAAAACATGCTATAGGCTCAGGAAAAGAGGGCAGAGTTTATTAATCAATCACCCTTTCTCACTTGGAAGAAAAATGTGGCAGCAGTCACAGTTTCAGAAACACCATCAAATTTGTATCCTGCCGACTCTGTGCTATTAGGCAAGACACAGACGTGTGTCACAAGACACGCTCAATGTGAAAAATGAGGAAACCCTGGGAAAAGGGAAACCATTAAATGTGACTGAAAGATCTGAAGTCTGTTTCAAACAATAACAAGTTATGCTAATTTGAGAATTTCTTCAGTGCTCTTTTTTAAGGAGCTTTAAAAATTTAGTAGGTAATCAATATGACTTGGAAATCTTTAGTGCAGAGAACACTCAGGAAATAGCAGGTTCATGGGGTAAGAGGTTTTATTGATTGCTGTAGGACAGGATCATTATTGCTTTGTAAACCAGAGGCGGCAGTGGTTCCATAGGGAATAGTAGAATCTATTTTTGAACAAGAGTTTTTGTTTGTGTGGTTTTCCTGTCTTAGCGAGCTAATATTGTTGTAAATTCTGCAACTGAACTCGGTTGATCTTTGTTGTGGTTAAACTTGAAGGGCCTCGCAGAATATTAATACGATTTACGGCCACCCAGGACACACAGCGTTTCTATCTGGGAGGTGTCCTGGTGATACAGAGATTTTCTTACTGATCTCAGAAATGATCAGAGTGGAATAATGTGGAATAATCTCTGTGCTTGGAGCCAGAGATCTGAGTTCTTATCTGGCTGTGCAATTAAAATAGTTCCTTGGATACCTCCACTCCCAGTTTTATTATGCTTGAAATGAGAGGATTATAAAGTGTAATCTCCAAAGAGCTTTCCAGGTCTGGAATGCCTTGGTTTGCCATCCTTGTGAAGGAGGAAAGAGTGTGGTGCTAGTTTTCCTGTTTTATACATGAGGACTGGAATTCGCTTTAAAATTAGGCTCCATGGACAGTTTAGCCCAGGAGTATCTGTCCTAAGCAGAGAAATGAAGTTTCCCGGGTAACTTATTGGGGAATGTTGAGGTTTGAATGGAGTTAGTGAACAGATGAGCTACATCGGGAGATTCTTGTGAGTGCCATACAGAATCAGAGACTGCAGTTCCCTATTGTGACTCAGAGCTAAGCGAGTTGGGTCCTAGATGGAGTGACCCAGTCGGAGAGGAGTTGGGAGGGGGGTGGTAGGGAGTGAACTGCCTGGCAGTGTTTGGGGGGGGGGGGTTGCCTGGTATGTTTCGTGAGAGAAGAGAGAGAGAGGCTGGCTTACTTTGCCAGAGTGAGGTTGAGTGGTCTTCCTTCTTCTAAAGTCACTTCCTTGAAAGACAGTGACGTTAGTATTTTTCAGGATAGTTTTACCAAGGCACACAGGACTCTGCAGTCCCGTATTTCCTGCCTCACTGTTAAATTGATCTTCAATTGTCATATTATCATTAGATTGAATGTTGTGAGGAGGATAGCAGCGGCCCGGTGTGTGTTACTCTAGTGCCGATTCTGATAGCGTCCGGAGAACTCCGTTCACAAGGACCGTGTTCAGAGAAACCCGGGTCAGCGGCCAGCTCGGGAGCTAATCAGTGCTAATCTCCTCGTATTAAATGTATTCAGGAACAGACTCCGTTAAAGCATCACTGAGTGTAGCGGCGGATTATGGCCCTTGGTAGTGGAGTAAAATGTCAAACATTTTGGCTTAGCGAATCAATAAGGCCCGATTTATTCACAGGCGCGTGAAAAACTCGCAAAGAGCAGCTGCCAAATAATCATTGTTTATGGTGATAATGGACGGAAGTCATTTAATCCAATGACTCTTTCATTGTTATTTATTGGGAAGTAGTGACATTACTATCTCTTTAGTGTCTGGGATGGGGGCGTTCTGCCATCCTCGCCCGGGCCTGCTGAGTCCCTGGAAGGAGACTCCCGTAGGACTGCAGGTGACAGCGTGTGGTGGCTCGCCTCCAAATCAAACCCCTGAACCTCTACACAGTGGAATACGTCTGTGCACTCTCTCCTTTTGCAGTGAAAGTACTGGAATTACAGTGCCTTAGGAATCACACAGCTAATTTTTATTTTCCCCTTTATTAAAATTTCTGTAATTTGAATTGCAAACTCTGCAGCCTTGCCAGATTACTGCATCAGTTCGTATATGACGTATTGGAATCAAGGAATCTTTATTCATTACATGTTAGGAGGAAGTGTGAAGGTGGCCTTCTGTGGTGTGGGAAGTGGCCACTGGCGGAATTTGGTTGGGTCTTGAGAGATTACTAGTTGTTCAAGTTTGTGTTTCACTATTTAAATGACATTTTCGCAATACCAGGGAAAATTTATCACATTGTTTTCTTTGGTGGTTTTAAATTGTAATGGGAATTCCATTTGCTTATTCATAAGAAAATGCAGTAAAATTCTAAAAACTCCAAGAGTAAAATGAACCCTAATTGGCCAGAGCTGAGAGAGAAAGAGAGTGAGCCTCTGGGCTGGCGCTGTGGTGCAGCAGGTTAAAACCCTAGCCTACAGAGCCGGCATCCCATATGGGCACCGGTTCAAGTCCCGGCTGCTCTTCTTCCTATCCAGCTCTCTGCTATGGCCTGGGAAAGCAGTAGAAGATGGCCCAAGTCCTTGAGCCCTGCACCTTTGTGGGAGACCCGAAGGAAGTTCCTGGATCCTGGCTTCAGATCAGCTCAGCTCTGGGTGTTGCGGTCATTTGGGGAGTGAATCAGCGCAATGGAAGACCTTTCTCTCTCTGGCTCTATCTCTCTCTCTAACTCTGTTTAAATAAATAAAACAATTCTTCTTCTTCTTTTTTTTTTTTTTTTTTAAGATTTATTTATTTTACTTTGAAAGTCAGAGTGAAACAGAGAGAGAAGGAAAGGAAGAGAGAAAGGTCTTCCATCCGATGGTTCACTCCCCAGTGGCTGCAACGGGCCGGAGCTGCACTGATCTGAAGCCAAGAGCCAAGAGCTTCCTCCAGGTCTCCCACGCGGGTGCAGGGGCCCAAGGGCTTGGGCCATCTTCTACTGCTTTCCTAGGCCATAGCAGAGAGCTAGATTGGAAATGGAGCAGCTGAAACTCAAACCAGCAACCATATGGGATGCCGGCACTGCAGGCGGTGGCTTTACCTGGTATGCCACAGCACTGGCCCTTAAAACAATTCTTTAAAAAAAAAAAAAGAGTGAGAGCCTTGTTAACATTAGGTAGTTTGAAGTAAGAGGAAGAAAACACATTGGGATAAGAAAGGGTAAGATGTGTTTGATAATAAGACAATAAGTAAAATAAAAGTCATAGTTATACATTTTAAGAAGTGAGTTGGAGCCGACAGTGTGGCATAGCAGGTTAAGCCACCTGCTGCAATGCCGGCATCCCATATCAGTGCTAGGTGGAGGACCTGGCTCTGCTTCACTTCCTTTCCAGCTCTCTGCTAATGTGCTTGGGAAGGCAACAAGGATGGCTCTAGTGCTTGGGCCCCTGCACCCATGTGGGAGACACAGATGGAGTCCTGGGCTCCTGGCTTTGGGCTCTCAGAGTTTGCAGTCATTTGGGGAGTGAACCAGCAGCAGCTGGATGATCTCTCTGCCTGTGTCTCTCCCCCTCTCTCTGTAACTGTGCCTTTCAAATAAATAAATCTTTTTTTAAAAAATTAAAAACTGAATTGCTATCCTATTGTTAAAAATCCATCTTTGATTACAAATATGTGAAAGGAACATGCAGGTAGGAAGGAAATAGATGCTTTTTTTTTTTTTTCTCCATGGGCACTTAATGGACCTTTTGAAAAATTCGCATGGTTTTGTTTT